GGAGGGTTTGGAGATACTAAATATCACAGGATATATACACTGAGAGAGGTGTATTTCTCTCAGCGTATATTTTGAGTGTTTTGATTCATATTATTGAGGTTGATGTATTTTAGTCTGTTGGTGAAGGGTTTACGTTCAGCCTTAGTGTTGGTAGTGTTGTTGATAGGCTTTCAAACCCCATTAGCCAACCCACAGGTTAAGTGTTCATTAAAAGTGGGCATTAAGTGGTGTACTGGAGAGGTTCACTCGTACCCCTTACAAGTAAGGGATGGCAGGGAAGACTCGAACCCCTCTGATAAAATCAAGTAACCTAGAAGCCTAGCAAAACTAGCTAAAAAAATCATGTAATGTTTCTAAGAATTTAATTGTAACGGTGGAGGTTGAGTAGGATGGGCAGATATTAGACCTACACTAATTGAAGCAGTTGTTTTTCTGAAGGCCTGCATGTTACCAAGTGTTATAAACGAGAATAACGAGAACAGAAATAATATTTATAACCAGTTCTCTCTCTCTCTCTCTCTCTATCTCTCTCTCTCTCTCTCTCTCTCTCTCTCTCTCTCTCTCTCTCTCTCTCTCTCTCTCTCTCTCTCTCTCTGTTACTTGGTGATGGGGGTCATAATGCAGTCTAGATTTTTTGGGGTAATGTGAAACATTAAACCCGTGTGGGTCATTCAGCTCATGGAACAATGTAGGCTTGATCCCTTGCAAGGGCGGCTAGATCTTACCATCTAATTGTTAGTCACCAGCCCTAGCTGGTGACTAACCATGAGTATTTAGTTTGTTCAGAGGAGTGTTGGTCAACTGGAGGGTCAGATAATTTATGTATGGGATAGTCTAGCCAATCAGACACCAAGTCATCAGCTGGTACATTCTGTACTCAAGAGAGCGACAGAAACCTTTCTTTCCCAGTCAGTCAAACAACGTGTCTTTCTAATTCACTACTTCGAAGACAAGACATCTGCGATGATTCCTCCGAAGCCTGTCTCATCTGGGGAGGTCCGTTGAAGAAGAGCCAAACCACCAACGAACTCAACCTCTCAAGTAGTGTCCTCCGCCGGGAGCAGAGAGCCTGCTTGAAGGGAGCGTTTGTCCACGCGTAGATGGGCAGGAAGAAGAGCAGGTAGATACGGTTGATGATGTGGAAGACGTCGCGTAGGACCGGCGGTTTGTCTACTATCGATCTGCTCACCAGTGGGTAGATGGTCTGCAAGAGGGAGAAGAAATGTGATTTCGTTTAACTAGAGGACGTGAATGGAATCCACGTGAAAGACACCTTTTGGTCCCATGTAACAAAACGATGCAATTTTTAATGTAATCAAAGGGCAGCTTTAAACCCAGTGGGACCATGCAGTACCTAGTGAATGAGATATAGGTTTGATTTTTGGAAGAGGCAGGGAAGCTGCATTTCTGTGGATCAAGAGCTCTTCAAGGCACTTCTCCCCTCTTAAAGAGATAAGAGGATATGATTTGTTTACACAGTTACTTATAATGTCCACATTCGTACTTGTCAGTATGGAAACACATGAAAAACCTTTCATTGGGGCAAACAATTCAACCAGAGCTTGGAGTGCCAAAGTTTTGGCATCAATTCAACACTGCAGATGCCTTACCTAACGTCAAAGGTGCACGGGATAATATGCCGCAGTCACCAATAATTGCAGGCTAGAAAAAAATTATGGCCAAGTGTGGTGAATAATAGAAACTTGAGTACTTACGTGTGGAAGAGCGAGAAGAACATAGAGCACAAGGACTTTCATAGCAGAAACGGCTGTCCTTGTTCGGAGGAGGCGCTCCGTCTTCTCCGTATCGACGGAGTGACCACGACTTTCCCTACGGAACTCCACAGCGACAAGGACGTAGAAGACGAATGTGGCGAGGACTGCAAGAGTGTATACGACGGTGTAAGCGATCAGGAACTTCATGCTTACTTTCCCGTTGAGGCACAAAATCGTCAGTTGAGAACCGCAGGGCAGTAGGAGTAGTAGAAAACAGGGGGTGATCCAGCAGGCTAGACACAGTAGGTAACAACGAGCCTTCGTCAGCATCCTGCTGTAATGAAGAGGCCAGCAAATAGCTACGTACCGATCGAGAGCCAAACAGGTCAAATTAAAATTAGTTACTGCGTGAAAGTACCTCAGACACACGCCTAAGGCTATGCTGCACCATTTATAATCTTCTGTATTATAAAAAACAACGAAAAACAAATTACAGGCAAAGGATATGGCTGACAACACAAAGATACTTGATAACAGGCTGTTCCCAAAGGCTGTGGAAGGCTTGGCTCTGAGCGTCTTGTCTGTTACATTGATAAAGAGAGTGACGACACACTCCAGCATGGTGAGGCTGCAGAGAGTCAAATAAATTATGTATTTGCTATTCCCGCTCATAGTCTGGGTTTATATACTTTCCTTTCGACGATTAAAAAATAGGTTTTTTGAGCTGGTCTGAAATGTCCTACATCTTGTGTATATTATACTGCATCAAAATATTTGCCTGTCCGGTTCAAAACGTCGTACCCTTGACGAAATGTTCTGCTGAAGAAAGTCTCATGCAGCCAAAAATGCTGACTGATTGGGAACGTCTTCCAGTTTCGAACGTTAGAGGTAGACCTATGGCTAGTTCGTAATAAATACCAGTCACTTTCCAACACAATACCAGTCACTTTCCAACACAATACCAGTCACTTTCCAACACAATACCAGTCACTTTGCAACACAATACCAGTCACTTTATAACACAATACCAGTCACTTTGCAACACAATACCAGTCACTTTCCAACACAATACCAGTCACTTTGCAACACAATACCAGTCACTTTATAACACAATACCAGTCACTTTGCAACACAATACCAGTCACATTACAACACAATACCAGTCACTTTATAACACAATACCAGTCACTTTACAACACAATACCAGTCACTTTACAACACAATACCAGTCACTTTATAACACAATACCAGTCACTTTACAACACAATACCAGTCACTTTACAACACAGTACCAATCACTTCACAACACAATACTCAAAATACAATCTCCAGTGACATCCTCTTCAGGGCGTGTTAAGGTTACTTGTCGTTAGATCTCGCAGGATCATATTAGCCACTGCGTCTCACTTGTAAATTCTCGCATTACAATTACTCAAAAATAGTCATTTGGAATTGAAGAATGTGTAAAACAATCCTAATTCTGTGACTTGTTTACAGTGGTGTTATTAGGGCATTTTCGAGTCATAAATTCTAAGGTTGAAGTCGTGTCATGAGCGTTGCTGTCACTTAAGACCAGCGTTAGTGGCAGTTATTACTCCGGCGTTATTATTACTTAAGATCAGCATTACTGGCAGGTATTACTTCAGTGTTATCATCACCTATCAAATACCAGCGTTAGTGGTAGACATTACTTGAGCGTTATCATCACCAATCAAGTACCAGCATTAGCGGCAGCTGTCACTTGAGCGTTATCATCACTTATCAAGCACAAGCGTTACTGCCAGCTGTTATACCTCAGGCGGCCACGGCTCAACTCTGACATCTTGCGAACCCTGGCTCACCGACTCCCTCACAGGATGTATTATCAAGATAGTATCAGGGGCTGGCAGGGAATTTCGAAAGAAAATGTGAAAGCCACAGACCTCGTTAAGGGGACTTTAAATAAGTTAAAACCGTTTTATCGTTAAATGCCCCCCCAAAAAAAAAGTGGAAAATGAAATTTTGGGTGAGCGGGATTTAAGCAGCAGGACTGTTAACTACATTATACAGCTCTTGGGCCCAGTGGACCGGTTACTTACCATCTTGTTTAATCACTGCTTAAATATATATTTTTTTTCATTCGGCTGTTGATCTTTGGGTAGATGCTTCTGATGTACTTTTGACGAGTTTCGAGAGTTGTCCTACTTCCGGAGCCCGGCCTTGGGCCAGGCTCGTCTGGTGCTAGCCTGGTCAACCAGGCTGGTGCTTCTAGCTACCCGCTGGCCCACAAAACAACCACAGCCTGGTTGATCTGGCATCTGGTGAAGATACTTGTCCAGTTTTCTCTTGAAGACTTGTACACTTGTACCAGCAGTGTTTCTGATATCTTCTGGTAAGATGTTGAATAGTCTACCAGGGTAGACACGGACTGTCGGTCCTAGGGTAGACACGGACTGTCGGTCCTAGGATAGACACAAGCTGTTGGTCGTAAGGTAGACATGGACTGTCAGTTATATGGTAGATACGGGCTCTCGGCCCTAGGGTAGACATGGGCTGTTGCTTTTAGGGTAGATACTAGGTGACGGTCCTAGGGTAGACATAATTTGTCGGTCCTAGGGTAGACAAGGGCTGTAGGTCCAAGGGTAGACATGGGCTGTCGGTCCTACGGTAGACAAGGGCTGTCGGTCCTAGGGTAGACAAGGGCTGTAGGTCCAAGGGTAGACATGGGCTGTCGGTCCTACGGTAGACAAGGGCTGTCGGTCCTAGGGTAGACAAGGGCTATCCGTCCTAGAGTAGACAAGGGCTGCCGATCCTACGGTAGACAAGGGCTATCGGTCATACGGTAGACACACTGACGTGTTGCAAACATCCAGGAAGACTAAGCGAAAGGTTTCACAACAGGTTTCTGTTGGAACAACGTGTTGTTCTGTACATATCTCTACTCTGGGCGAAACGTTGTTCCAGTATTTAAGTTTATTTACGACATGAGAAAAGGGATACTGGAGTTCCCGGCCCACAATATCCCCCAATGTGGGGATACCAGCCTAACAGAGGGTGGGTTACCAGTCTAACAGAGGGTGGGGATACTAGCCTAATAGAGGATGTAGATACCAGCCTAATAGAGGATGTTGATACCAGCCTAATTGAAGGTGGGGATACAAGCCTAACGGAGGGTCGGGATAGCAGCCTAACAGAGGGTGGGGATACCAGCCTAACGGAGGGTGGGGGTACCAGCCTAATAGAAGGAGGGGTACAAGCCTATTAGAAGGTGGAGATACCAGCGTTACAGGGGGTGGGGATACCAGCCTAACTTAGGGTGGGGTTACCAGCCTAACAGAGGGTGGGGATACCAGCCTAATTGAAGGCGGGGATACAAGCCTAACGGAGGGTCGGGATACCAGCCCAACAGAGGGTGGAGATACTAGCCTAATAGAGGGTGGGGATACCAGCCTAACGGAAGGTGGGGGTACCAGCCTAACCAAGATTGGAGGTCCGAGCATTATTGTGTGTGTGTGTGTGTGTGTGTGTGTGTGTGTGTGTACTCACCTAGTTGTACTCACCTAGTTGAGGTTGCGGGGGTCGAGTCCGAGCTCCTGGCCCCGCCTCTTCACTGATCGTTACTAGGTCACTCTCCCCGAGCCGTGAGCTTTATCATACCTCTGCTTAAAGCTATGTATGGATCCTGCCTCCACTACTGTGCCACCACTGTGTGTGTGTGTGTGTGTGTGTGTGTGTGTGTGTGTGTGTGTGCGTGCGTGTGTGTGTGTGCGCACGGGCGAGTGAAGACCGTAAGTAGGAGAGAGAGAGAGAGAGAGAGCATAATGGCAATCAAGTCTCCGTCCCTGACTTTCGCTTGGCTGATTTCATAGGACTGAAAAATTACTTAGGTGGGCTGAACTGGAATGACCTGACTAAGGGTCAGGTAGGTGGTGATGGTTGCCGATATGATGCTTTCCAGGGCATAGTTCTAGCTGCTCAGTCAAATTATGTTCCAAATAGGGAAATCAGATCAAACAAAAATGATCCTAAATGGATGAACAATAGATTAAAATATCTGATTGGTCAAAAGAGAGGCATATATAGGCAAATCAAAAGAGGAGAGGGGCAATTAAGAAATCGATATATTCAGTTAAAGAGAAATAAAAAAGGGAATTAGAAAAGCAAAAAGAGATTATGAGGTTAAAGTTGCAAGAGAATCGAAGACTAACCCAAAAGGATTCTTTCAGGTATACAGAAGTAAGATCAGGGACAAGATAGGCCCACTCAAAACTTCCTCGGGTCAGCTCACTGACAGTGATAAGGAAATGTGTAGAATTTTTAACACATACTTCCTCTCAGTTTTTACACAGGAGGATACCAGCGATATTCCAGTAATGATAAATTATGTAGAACAGAACGATAAACTGTGCACGATTAGGGTCACAAGTGACATGGTCCTTAGGCAAATAGATAAATTAAAACCTAACAAATCCCCAGGCCCTGATGAACTGTATGCAAGGGTTCTAAAGGAATGTAAAGAGGAGCTTAGCACACCTTTGGCTAATCTTTTCAACATATCACTACAAACTGGCATGGTGCCAGATAAGTGGAAAATGGCAAATGTGATACCTATTTTCAAAACAGGTGACAGGTCCTTAGCTTCGAACTATAGACCAATAAGCCTAACCTCCATAGTGGGAAAATTTATGGAATCCATAATTGCCGAGGCAGTTCGTAGCCACCTTGAAAAGCATAAATTAATGAATGAATCTCAGCATGGTTTTACAAAGGGGCGTTCCTGCCTTACGAATTTATTAACTTTTTTCACTAAGGTATTTCAGGAGGTAGATCATGGTAATGAATATGATATTGTGTATATGGACTTCAGTAAGGCCTTTGACAGGGTCCCACATCAAAGACTATTGAGGAAAATTAAAGCACATGGAATAGGAGGAGAAATTTTTTCCTGGATAGAGGCATGGTTGACAAATAGGCAGCAGAGAGTTTGCATAAATGGGGAGAAATCAGAGTGGGGAAGCGTCACGAGCGGTGTTCCACAGGGGTCAGTGTTGGGCCCCCTGCTGTTCACAATCTACATAAACGACATAGATGAGGGCATAAAGAGCGACATCGGCAAGTTTGCCGATGACACCAAAATAGGCCGTCGAATTCATTCTGACGAGGACATTCGAGCACTCCAGGAAGATTTGAATAGACTGATGCAGTGGTCGGAGAAGTGGCAGATGCAGTTTAATATAGACAAATGCAAAGTTCTAAATGTTGGACAGGACAATAACCATGCCACATATAAACTAAATAATGTAGATCTAAATCTTTTTCGCAATCCGTAATATTAAGGAGTTCTGGTTAGCAGTAATCTGAAACCAAGACAACAGTGCATAAGTGTTCGCAATAAAGCTAATAGAATCCTTGGCTTCATATCAAGAAGCATAAATAATAGGAGTCCTCAGGTTGTTCTTCAACTCTATACATCCTAGGTTAGGCCTCATTTAGATTATGCAGCACAGTTTTGGTCACCGTATTACAGGATGGATATAAATTCTCTGGAAAATGTACAAAGGAGGATGACAAAGTTGATCCCATGTATCAGAAACCTTCCCTATGAGGATAGACTAAGGGCCCTGAATCTGCACTCTCTAGAAAGACGTAGAATTAGGGGGGATATGATTGAGGTGTATAAATGGAAGACAGGAATAAATAAAGGGGATGTAAATAGTGTGCTGAAAATATCTAGCCTAGACAGGACTCGCAGCAATGGTTTTAAGTTGGAAAAATTCAGATTCAGGAAGGATATAGGAAAGTACTGGTTTGGTAATAGAGTTGTGGATGAGTGGAACAAACTCCCGAGTACAGTTATAGAGGCCAGAACGTTGTGTAGCTTTAAAAATAGGTTGGATAAATACATGAGTGGGTGTGGGTGGGTGTGAGTTGGACCTCATAGCTTGTGCTACCAGGTCGGTTGCCGTGTTCCTCCCTTAAGTCAATGTGACCTGACCTGACTAGGTTGGGTGCATTGGCTTAAGCCGGTAGGAGACTTGGACCTGCCTCGCATGGGCCAGTAGGCCTTCTGCAGTGTTCCTTTGTTCTTATGTTCTTATAATTAGCCTTAATTTGAGTGTATATTTTCTCTCTCTCTCTCTCTCTCTCCTCTCTCTCTCTCTCCTCTCTCTCTCTCTCTCTCTCTCTCTCCTCTCTCTCTCTCTTCTCTCTCTCCCAGAAATGTGTGTTCAAAGCTAGAAATGTCTTTGACTATCATTCAAACTTGAGTCTTAAGTCACTGACAACTTAAGGTCAAAATTCAAAACAACACAAGTCTTTCCTCTATAACCGAATTCATAAACGAAATAATAAAAAAAAATCCCATTTTCTTTACAAATGAATTTTTATTTGAAAAAAAAAATAGAAAATATAATTAATATTTCATTTTTAGTATCCATGTTATGTCGAAATAATATTTTTTCAATAAATTTCAGTTTTGAAATCTTTGATGCAAGGAAATTCGGTATGGGGGGAGGGGGACGTAGTGTATGTATACGGAGGGGTGTATATGTGTGTATATACGCTGAGAGATGTGCGTTCCTCAGTGTATATTCACTGAGACGTATATATCTTACTGTGTATATACAACGAGATGTGTTCCTCAGTGTATATTCACTGAGACGTATATATCTTACTGTGTATATACAACGAGATGTGTTCCTCAGTGTATATTCACTAAGAGGTGTATATTTCTCAGTGTATATTCACCTAGAGGTGTATATTTCTCATTGTATATTCACCGAGAGGTGTATATTTCTCATTGTATATTCACCGAGAGGTGTATATTTCTCAGTGAAAATTCACCGAGAGGTGTATATTTCTCAGTGTATATTCACCGAGAGGTGTATATTTCTCATTGTATATTCACCGAGAGGTGTATATTTCTCATTGTATATTCACCGAGAGGTGTATATTTCTCAGTGCAAATTCACCGAGAGGTGTATATTTCTCATTGTATATTCACCGAGAGGTGTATATTTCTCATTGTATA